ATGTAAAGTTAATAAAGATTTGATCTACTGGTAGAATTTAGAATTTTTTCTTGTGCGGGGATCACACCCAGGGCCTCCTGCACACTACACAAATGCTCTGCTACTGAACTACTTAAATGGTTTTACTTCTTGTACTTTTCCAAATCACATGAACTCCTAATATAAAAAAGAATATGAATTAAAATTTCACAACTAAAAAATCATTATGCTTTGCAAGAAATCAAATCTTTACCACTAACAAAACCACAATTTTGAATTTGAACCAATTCCAATCTTAACAGAGAAATTTTCTTAAATACTTTCTCTTAGCATACAACGTAATCTCAGGGAAACAGAAAATGTTCCTGGCCCAAGTGAAGAAAGGGTGGGAGTGTCAGGCAGGAGGCAGAGCAGACTGACACCACTGGCACTTGACGACAGCAGGCTTCTTCAGAGGACAGACAGAGGGCAGTTCTCTGTTCTTTTCCCCCAGAACACAGAAAACTGACCATGCTTCTTGAGGCTGCAGCACCTAAACGCCCCCGGAAAACAATTTTCAATATATTTCACATAACCACACTTATGTTATCAAGCTCTGACAAAAGAAATTTGTCTTAGACTGAAGTCAACGGCTAAATTATGGTATTTATATGATAAGCTCTATGGATTTGTTTGAGGCTGGCATTTCTAAAACATGAACTCAACTGTAAAAGGGCACTGCATTTTCTTTGTGCTAAAAGAATAGTGTTACTAAGTGCATTCATGCTTCATTTTTACAAAAATGAAATGAATATAAAGGGAGAAACCCAAGAAAGCAAGTACAGTGATACTTCATATGTCACCAATCGTAATAAACGTGCAGTTAGAATTAAATCTTTTCCCTTGAGGTGACAAAACAGTCTCTTAAACAGTACAGAGGTACTTTTCAAAGTAGGGCATGCATGCCCTAAAGATGTGTAGCAGGGTCCAGCCCAATGTCATCCGACCAGCAGTCAACTTATTCAAACTCACCAAGAGAAAAGGAAAGAAAATTTAGTGTGGACAGCTCTTCATGAAGTGAATGTGTGCAGAGTACACAGTGGTCTCAGGTCCTGGCCTCTCAGCACATTAACTGCGATTCTACTGTTCAAAGAAAATGTTCCACATAACAGAGGCCCAAACTGTGAGCCAACTATTTCATATGGCATTCAAAAGAAGGAAGAACTCAAACTTCCACCCTTGCAGGAAAAAGCAGCTACCCTGGACTTATCAAGAGAGGATACTAAGTTGCACTGTGATGTAAGAGCAATTTAAGGCATTTTTCATGGGAATTTTACCCTTACATATGCAATTCTACTTTCAAGACACCATCACAGGCTACACACAGAGCATCCTGGAATACTGACTTTCCCTGAAATTTTTAGGGGGAGATCAATTTTTATATTAAAATACAAAAAAAGAGACTTCAAAGGTATCTGGTTTTGGCAGGCTATTTTGCTTTTACTCTCAAAATGTCTGGGGTGGAACTAGATTCCTCACTGGTATTAGGGAAACTTGGGGGAAGAAATGCTGGAAAAACATTACAATACATAATACAAGGAAGGAAGTTGGGCTTAGGGAAAATAAGGAAAAATAGATTAACACCATGAAAGAAATACTTAAATGAACACAGAGAAGTTCTGTGCACCTGTTTGGGGAGGTAATTGGCTTTTTTTTTTTTTTTTTTAACCCATGTTCTCATGTATTAAATGGCTTTGACTACCATGCTAGATTCTAGTTCACCAATGTTCTTTACCGTCAGCTGTCAAAGCTTCTGCCACTAGCAGCTTACTCTTCCATTTAACTTAGGTTCTTACATAAAAAAAAAAAAAAAAAAAAAAATCTCTAATAAGCTGGTTTCAAGAAGGAGCTCAGAAGCCTCTGAAGGGAATAGGCTTTTGAGGACTGCATCAAACAGTCAGAGGTTTTTTACATGCTTGTTTACTGGGGGGTCTCCACTTGAAAAGTCTGACTGAAAGCAAAATACAGACATCAAACATATGACACATATCCCCAACCTTTCTGAAGATAGCATAAAAGGGTATCACATTTTGAAAAAGATGAAAATACCACATGCCATTCTGTAACAGGGCATAGTGAGTCAATTATAAGTCAGGCAACCTATTCAAATCTCTGTATTATAGTTAGCATTCCAATAGCAAATTCCCATTTGACTATTTTATTGTGTACAGAACACCAGGTATTTTAGACCAGACTGTTAATTATAGCCTTGAAATAGGTTCACATATATTTCAACATTAAGACCACACTGTTAGTGTCTTTAAAAAGAAAAAAATTAAGCCAGGTGTGGTGATGCATGACTGTAAACCCAGTCACTTGGGAGGCTTAGGCAGGAGGATCACAAGTTCAAGGCCAGTCTCAGTGAGTTAGCAAGGCCCTGTCTCAATAACAACAATGAGAACAAAAGAAAGAAAGAAAGAGAGAGAGGGAGGGAGGGAGGGAGAGAGAGAGAGAGAGAGAGAGAGAGAGAGAAAGAGAGAAAGAGAGAGAGAAAGAAAGAAATAGGGAGGGATATAGCTCAGGGATAAAATACCTCTGTGTTCAACTCCCAGTTTGTAGATGGGCAGAAAGAAGAAAGCTATTATATAGTTACTTTTTGCTAATGTACACTAAAAATCCTAAGTACCCTGGACATCAGATTTAAAAAAAATTTATTAGGCTGTCTTTTATTAAATTTTATTTCAATACACTTCTGAAAATTCTTTCAAAAAAAAGCTTTCTCAAAAGCCTGAATCTAGCCCAATGGTCACTAACTTGAAATAACACAAGATCCAATGGTTGAGAGATTAGAGTTATACCCTTTTGGCTGGAGAAACCAACAATCACAGGATTTCATTTAAGCAAACCAAGAACACCCTTTTATTGACAATGTTCTTTCTTCAGAGTTCTACCAAATCATGTGGATAGGAAAGAAGCCTGAAGAAAATGAAGCTTAACTTCATCAGACACTTGTCAAACAAGGCATCTCTGGGAAAGTTCTTACTTAAAGAGCAAGAAACTGCAAGGATTATGCAGTGCTAAAAAAGTCTTGGTTGTTAAGAGCTGGAAAGCACCTAAAAGTTCAGGTGCAATACCTGGTAGACATGAGATGTGGAGAAAGTACAGTGACTTGCTAACATTACATAGGAAGCTGAGCACAACAAATTAATATTAATGTTTAACATTTGGTGATCATTCTCTAAGAAGGGTAATTATTGGTCTTAGTCTTTACATGGTTAGAACAGAATTAAAATACTTGTAATCAATGTCTGAAATGATTGTAATATGAAATGTTTGCAATGTAAAATGTTTACAACTAATATGACAACAGGTTAATGTTTAATACAGGGAAAGACTACAACTATTTTTATCTTTTAAAAAATCAAGACCCTTGCTCTTCCAGGGATGGTGTCTGGAGGCACTCAGAATAATACAGCATTTCCTATACCCTTGAAGGCTTTCCTACTACACAGCTTCTAACAAAACTAGGCTGTCCTGAAACCTTGGTAATGGAGTGTTTACTTTTATACCAAGAAGGTAGGGGAAGAACCAAAATCTGCATGTGGCGTGTACCCAGGCCGATTTCAAGGGGTTCATGCTGTGAGAACTGAAGTTCTTATGAGGCTGTCTAAATTGTAAAAATCATGTCAGCAGAGCCTATGGTGGTTCCATGCGTGTGACAGGATCAAGTATGCTTTCCTTAAGAACAGAAAAATCACTGTCAAAGTGCTGAAGGCACAAGCAGAGTAAGAAAACTAAATTTAAAAAAAATTTTTGGAATAAATAGTCAAAAGGTTAAAAAACAAAACCCTAATAGGTAAATAAGCAAAGGGCACAATTAACATAAAAGTGGATATAATTAATAAACAAACATTCAATTTCATAATCAGCAAAAAAGCAATATCTATAATTTTATATGATTAAGTTAATGAATATTCAAAAGAATCATAACACCCCAAATGTTGGTATTATGTTGAACCACCATATTTATATTTTGCAAATGGGCACAATCCTTTGGCAATTCAATCTGGCAATATTTTTAAGAGTTAAAAGAATATTCATATGCTTTGAATTAGTAATTACACATGAACATGTACATGAAAGGTGTAAACCAAAGAATAAAAAAATGTATCTATCAACAGAGACACTAAAGGCACAAAACAAAGACTAAAAAGTATATACATCAATAGAAATATTGGCTAAAAATTATTTATAATATTTAGAAAATGACAACAATCTAAAAGTTCTATACTAAGATAACATGATGACACATATAATTCAATGAGATATTTTGTAGTAATTTAGAAGCATCATGAATACAGAAAGATTCTGAAACATCTTGTCATATCAGAAAGCAGAAAATTATTAAAGATAATTGGGGTGCTGGGGTTGTAGCTCAGTGGTAGATTGCTAGCCTAGCACAGGTGAGGCATTAGATCTGAGCCTCAGCACCACATAAAAACAAAATAACAAATAAATAAAATAAAAGTTAAAGTCTTTAAAAAAAAAAAAGATAACTGGGTCCTTTTCAAAGGGACTCGCAAAACAATATGAAGATGTTCCCAACTGGGCACAATAGTGGACACATGTACTGTCAGCTACTTTCGAGGCTGAGGCAGGAAGATCACAAGTTCAAGACCAGGTTGGGCAACTTAGGAAGACCCTGTCTCAAAATAGAAAAGGGCTGGGGAATATAGGGCATTCGTGGATTCAATCCCCAGTACTGAAAGGAAGGAAAGAAACACACACACACACACACACACACACACTCTCTCCTATTGGCCAAAGATAAATCAATCGAACATCAAAAAGAATAGGTATAGGGCTGGGGATGTGGCTCAAGCGGTAACGTGCTCACCTGGCATGCGCGGGGCGCTGGGTTTGATCCTCAGCACCACATAAAAATAAAATAAAGATGTTGTGTCCGCCGAAAGCTAAAAAATAAATATTAAAAAAAAATTCTCTCTCTCTTGTTTAAAAAAAAAAAAAAAGAATAGGTATAATGCTCACTTTGGCAGCAACATACTAAAACTGGAATGATACCGAGAAGCTTAGTAGGATCCTTGCACAAGGGCGACACACAAATTTGAAATGTTCCATATTTTTTTAGGTCTGCTTAGAGTTGTTTAAAAAAAAAAAAAAAAAGAATAGTGACAATGGACCAAATCACATCAAATTTATTAAAATCCATGAGCTGATAATAAACTTAAAACCCCAAAATTTTCATTGTCACTTTGACATACTCTGTTTTTTTTCTGTTTAAGGGGAGTGTGAGTATGTGTGTAGTATATCAAGACCTGTGTGTGTGTATATGTGTGTGTGTTGTGTATCAGGGCCTTCCTGGGTTAGGAAAATTACATTCCTGCTTGTGTAGGAGAAGAGGGGTGTATAAGGTAACACAACACACTAGTCCTCATTTTTTAAAAAAATTATAGAGTAATGTTAATTTGTTCTCAGAACCAAATCCCCTCCCCGCAAAATGAAATTGTTTTCTTCTTTTAGATTTGATGAAGCATTTGCTGCTAAAATGAATCAGACATGTTGAGAGATGTCACGGCTGATTGGAAGTATTGCTCCCTGATTTAAAACTAAACCTTGAACTTTTTAAGGAATTAAAAAACACACTTGACATGGAAAAAAATAACTCACAAACTTTCACTTGTCTTTAAAGGATTCTGGGAAATGAACACATTACTCTAAAAACTGATAAATCGAAAGAAAGAATCAAAGTTTAAAAATAAATAGTGTTAGGGCTGGGGTTGTGGCACAGTGGTAGAGCACTCGCCTAGCACTTTCGAGGCCCTGGGTTCGATCCTCAGTACCACATAAAAATAAATAAAAATAAAGGTATTGTGTTCAACTACAACTAAAAAATAAATATTTAAAAAATAAATAAATAAATATTGTTATGTCACAGAAACAAGGGAAAGGGGATCAGCACCAACAGACTGGGTTGAAGAGAAAGACTCACTTTTCACTGTACACACCTTGTATCTTTTCAATTTTGTACCATGTATACGAATTAACTACTGAAAAAACAAACTCACTTAAGTATCACTATAAAGATTATGTAACAAAATGGAAAAATGATTGTGTTAAAGAAAAATCCCTAAGAATGCAAATGATAGCCACTGTCATTATACTAATGCAGACAATGTAATGCATGTGGACCAGCTCTGGAAGGAAACCAGATAAATTAAATTGTTGACTAAAATGACAGAATTTAGGTGCATTTTCTCTTTATATTAAAATAAATTCCATTGTTACATTTATAATACTATTTGCCCAATAAATAATGTTAATGTGTCCAATAAATAATTTCAATGGAAAACACGGAATTTGTGCTCTCCTAGTTATCCACACCAGGAATGGCAGGAAACCCTGGCTATATGAACCTGGAGCCCACAATCAAGGCACCAAGAACCATCTGGGAGTAACTTGACTCTATAGGCAAGAGATCACAGAAGGAGAAAAGAAAGGGTCTCCTGAGGGCTGTGCATACAGTAGAAGTGAAAGTACAAATGACTTAGTCCGCTCTACTTCTGCTTCCCTGAACTGATATGGGGGTGGTGGCAGTGGTGGCGTTCCCTGAGTAGGAGGCCAGCAGAACATGGAAAGAGCCTGTCGACAGCACATAAAAGACACACACTGAAAACACTGCTTGCAGGAGGAGTGAAGCTTGTCAAAGTACTGCAGAGGCTGGGAAAGTGAAGGGAAGAGAAAGAGCAATTATAACCTGAACCTAACAATTCCTTGGCTAATTTTAACTGGAGAGGTGGAATATATCTGCAGCTTGAAAACGATAGGCAAATGAGTGTTCAGGTACAAAAAGACCCAACCCACACAGAACTTTAAATGGTCATTGCAAAAAATTGCATTTTCACATCAATCATCTGCTATTATTCAGATAATATTTCATTTGTGATTCCTCCAAAAATAAATAAATGGCCTCAGGAAGGAAAAAGGAAATCCTAGGTCCAGAGCAGAAGTTTATATTTCTTGTTACAAGACAAAACCAGTAAGAAAAAATTAATGCCAAACTATTTTAGGAATGCTACTTTAAAATTTTTCAGCTATTAATAATGAAAATCAAATATCAACTTGTTTACTTTGGGGGTCAGTTCTGGGGATTAAAAGAGGTGCTTTTATCACTGAGCTACTTGCCCAAATCTTCAAAAAAAATTTTTTTAACTTTAATTTTGAGTCAGTGTTGTCCAGGCTATCCTCAATTTTGTGATCCTCCTGCCTCAAAGTTGTCCAGCCTGGTCTCAAATTTGTGATTCTCCTACTTCGGCCTCTTGAGTAGCTAGGCTTACAGGTGTGTGCCACTGTACCTGGTTTGTATTTATTTTTTAAACATTGCAATGAAGTTACTTAGCCAAAATTTTCCAAATTTTTATGTTAAGTTACAGCTCAGATAATATACTTACTCACATTGAACTATGTTTATAAATATTTCCTTAAAAATTATTCTAAAATACAAATAATTATATATATATATATAAAGATGATACAATAATTATTTCTGGATAATGGGATCAAAGGTGATTTTTACCTTGCTCTTTATGTCTTTAGAATTAGCTGATTTTTTTTACAATGTGTATGTGCTACTTTTATATTAGGAATAAAACCTTTTTATTAAAAACAAACAACAACAATAAACCCAAACTTGATTTAATGGCTACCATATTACAAATTGTTAAAAATCACAATGGGAACAATTTCCATCAAAACAATGTGTAACTGTTTTTACAAACAACTGATATATAATAATTTTAGTAAAATAAACAAAAAAAACCCAAACAACCCAAAACACAAAAAACAAAAACCATACATAAGCAGTAATCTAAACTGAAAACAGCTTTTGGAAGATTTATTTATTCAAGTACCCCTTATACTACAGCAAATTATGTTAGGAGGAAAACAAGATCATAGACAAGGTCACTGCTGAGATTTATGACTATGTATATTACCTATGGATGAACCAATCTGTTTTTGCTTCCTAACTCCCATTAAAAATATAAAGCAAATTAATTATTCACACCAAATATTAAAATATCACTCTATTCTCCTGCCAGGTGGAAGGACTTGTGGATTGCTCCACGGACTCAGGGCTTTAGCAACCATCCAAAACTGCGGCAGACAATTCTAGTCGCTTGCTTACCCACTGTGCTATTGCCCTCCCTTCCCCACCAACAAAACACTGATCTTATCTGGGGTGGCAAATAAGTACTCCCTGATAAAAATGCTAGCTAGCTTCCTTGGAATCCCCAGCAGCTCAAGGAAGCCATGTGGTATAGTTCTGACCAATGAGAAATAAATGGAGTTTCCAGAAAGTTTCGACTGTGTGGCCACTTTCTGCCTGGAGTGTGAGCACCATATAACTTATCATGTCTTATAGCTGTGGGACCACAAGCATAAAGAGAGAAGTCAGATACTAAGGATGGTAGCTCAGGAAGACAAATTTCTTGTAATCTGGGAAAAATAAATCCTTATTTGTTTAAAGCCATTGTAGTCAGAGTTCTGAGTTGTATAACAATGCAATCCTCCTCATTCTTTTATAGTTGAGAAAAGGAACCCAAAATCTTAAGGAAATTTGGCTGGACTTAACAGGTCAAACTAAGCATATCAGAGTGCAAGACTCGGTAACATTTTCAGAGCTATTTCATTTCAATGATACTTTCTAGCCGTGGAAACTATTATCCTTAAGAAATATGATGGTGAAATTTGGTATAATATTTTTTTCTGGTGAATAATTTTCTGAATCATATATAAAAACAAAGTTCATATCTGAAAAAAAAATTACTATTTTATGTCCAAAAATTTTTAAAAATCTGCTTCTTTTTATAATTTGACATGTGGTATCCATGAGCATCATTCTGGAGTTCAAGAATGTGACAAACTCAACACCAGGTCCAAGATCTATCAGGTTTAATACCAGATATAAATTCAGCATTCAGTCAAAGTATTTACTATGAATAGTTGGTTGCCCTTTAATAGATCATTTTTCTTTAAAAGTGATGAAACTGCAATTACTCCCCCGACCCAGATTATTTAAAAAAAAAAAAAAATTTCAACCTACAAGCACTATACTCTAACCATCCAGGTAAATCAGCCACAGATCCAAGATGGAAAATGTAAAGAAAGCAGATAACCTCCAGAGAGCTAGGGAGTATGTATTTCACTTGATTCGTAGCAAGTAAAGTACTGTAAAGAATCCTTCTGCGTTGAACTCCAAAGACATTTAATAAACATCCATGGACTGAATATGTCAATGAACCTTAAGAAGACTGAATACAGATCACAGGTCCCGGATTCATTTTCTGTACAGTGTAGCAGCAGGCCCTTTCCAGGTCAGCTTCAGAGGGTAAAGGGAGGCACTTTGCTTAAATGTGCCAACCTGAAGCTATAAGCCTTTCCTTGCTACCCCACTACCAGGGAGGTGGGGGTGGGATCTGCACTTAGAGTCATCCACTCACTTGGCTCTTGCCATGTATCCATGTATTATTCCTAAAGGAATCTCAAGATAACCAGAAATAGGTATTAGAAATACTGTATTAGGTATTAGAAATACTGTATTAGCATTACTTTAGGTTACTTTTAGCATTAGATAAAGGGGGAAAATTAGGTGATACAGTTGCTCAAACTACAATAAAAGCTAATATTTAGTCAGGGCATTCTATGTGTTTTAGTCAGCTTTTGTATCATTGTGACCAAAATATCCCACAAGAACAACTTAGAGGAAAAAATGTTCATCTGGCGTTCAGAGTTTAATGTCTCAGTCCACAGATGGCTGACTCCATTTCTCTGAATCTAAGATGAGACACCACATCACTGGGGAAGGGTCCAGAGGAGGAAAGCTGCTCAGCTCATGGCAGGATCAATAAGCAGAGAGACAGAGGAAGGGGAAAGGGGCCTCAGGGAAGATGAAAACTTCCAGGGCACGCCCCAAGTGACCCACCTCCTCCAGCCATGCCTACCTGCCTATTTACCACCTAGTCACTCAAACTAGGATAGAATGATTAGGCCACAACTTCTGCAATCCAATTATTTCACATTCCTGAATTAATACAGGAGCTTTTGGGAGAGAGCTCATATCCAAATCACA